GTCGACAAGTCGGACCTCCCCGTCCTCGACCGGGTCATCAGCGGCGACGAGGTCGACGACGTGCCGGACCAGTGGGAACGCATGCGCCACGAGTGGAAGCTAAGCAAGGTACCGGACGCGCAGATGTTGCAGGTCATCGAGGGTGAAGCTCTGGAGAGTGGCGCGTCGTCGTCCGGGACCTCGACGCCGCGGGAGGTCGAAGTGTGTCCGCCGGTCTCCACCGAGGGGGACCGTCACATCAAGTCTTGGGACGAGATGTGGTCGACCAAGGAGAGGCCGAAACCTCAGAGGCGACACACCCCCATCGGCGGCAGGTACACAAAGGACGAACGTGGGGTCTGGAAGAAGTGAGGAAAAGAAGAAAACAGAAACAGAATTACCATCAAAAAAAAGGTTTCAAAGATCCAAATGTCGCGACGACTTTTGGTTTTTTGGTTGTTTTTTTTTGGCTGTCGCCGTGTCGGTTCGAACTTTGGGGGGGTTTTTGTGGAATTTCTCGACCAAAAACAAAAAAAAAGGAGACACTCATACTTGGGGTAAAAAGAAAGCATGCCTCTTTTTTTCTTACCTCCTCCCCCCCCCCCAACACTACCCAACGACACACATACACGTCCGTTGCGAATGAGACAATCAATTGGGTGTTATGCGGTGTACAGGCGTCGAGAGGGTTTCTCGGGAAGGTTGGCCCCCCCCCGGGGGATATTTTTTTTATTAATCAATCAATGATAAAACGATGAGCGATGAATGACCTACTTTTTTTGGGGTGCGTCTTTACATATAGGGACTACGTGTCTACCTGTTGTCATCATTTGTATGCAGAGTTGGCTGGGTCGATACTCAAAACACAACCGAGATCTGGTCGAGACGATGCGAATGTATATATAATTTATAAATTTGTATCGGAATTCCCCCTTTCGATACGGGAGTGGTCAACACCAATCACCATAAAAACACGAACATCGGTACTTTGTACGGACACACTCCATATCTAAACTGAACACAGAGTCCAGATTTACAGTAAAGGTAATTATATTATTTTCTGTTCTGACTCGGTCTCATACTCCTCTACAACTTTCGTCTCAAGTCCTCCACCATATATCCCAAAATCGTCGTCGTCTTGAATCGTACTTCTCACGTGCAATGTGTTCTTGCAAATCTCCCACCGAATCCATGCTCTTTATTATTGCTTTGTATTCTGATGATTGAAAAAAGGCCACATTTTTGGGTCTCCCACCTTGGAAACCTTTGCCCAAAAACGCCATGCTGACGCTCGCTAGAACCGACAAAATCAAAAGAGAGAATTCAAAAATGCGTTCGTGTTTCCATGTCGTGACTTTCGTGGTCTCCCTGTCCAGTTTCACATCATTTATCCTCCGTCCCTCGTGGTGTAACTCCAAAACTCCCCTTCTATCCGTCGTCTCAACCGTCTTGATCCGCGAACTGAATGGAAACCATCGTACACCTCACGACTTCACCCTGCCACCCTCTTCGAGTCTTTCTTCCTCTCTCATCCTTGATCTTTCTCGAGATCGTTCTCGTATGACCTGCTTCTGTTGAAACTGGTCCTCCAAGTTCTCCCGGGTGAAACCTTGAATCGTATTCAACCTCTCCAGTCCCAAACCCTCAATGTCAGCGTCCTCGTCCATGCGACTCCTGACGCGACACAGGTTGACTTGAGCGTCTTGCTTTTCTTCCTCGTCGCCGCCTTGCATGGCCAATCGTAACCTTTCTTCGGCCTTTTTCTTCTTTCGTTCTTGCCGCTCCTCGTTCTCACGCATCTCCCGGATCATGCTGGACCGTTCACGGATCTTGCCACCGTATCGGTAGAACAAGAACGGAATCGGAATGATCAAGACCTCCAACAATCCCAGCAACGTCCCAGCCCAATTCGGCCCGAGGGCGCGATACAAAGGCGGCCCGGCCAGTGGAAGGGCACCACCCATGATCGATCTCATCACGGCGTTTCCGGCCATGGCGCTCGCGGCGTAGATTCCGTAACTGTACGCCAAATAGTTTCCCGAGTAGATGAACACAGCACCGTTTCCGAACCCAAAGGGTATACCGGCGGCAATCGGCAAGGCCCAGTGGATGCTGGTCGGGTAACAGGTCCAGGCGAACCACAATTCGCCCACGGGGATGAGGATAGCCGCCACGCAGACGATACTCAGCATGGCCTCGGGCGGGACATTGCCGTCCTGGTCGCGCTTGTGCGAGTTGATCATTTTCCGGATAGGCGATGCACAGCCAATGATCAACATGGTGCCGATGCCAATACCTATGAAGGAAAGTCCGCTGAAACCAACGGACCAGCCACGTTCCTCGGTGAAGACGATGGGATATGCCACGAAACAGAGATACAAGATTCCTGGTACCTCGTCGTTAGCCAGGGACAAGGAGACAAGGCAGGGGTTTGGGCAATCTTACCGTAGACAAGGGAGATGTACACGTTCCAGAAGATGCAAATGGGCTCCTTAATCGCCATGATGAAAGGTCGGCTCAGGTTGATCTTCATCAACTCGACGAAGCCCACGCGTACGTCATAGCGACTCCAGTATCGGTCGTCTTCCTCTTCGCGTCGAAGTTTCTTGGCTTTGCGTTGCAAGAGCACCGGCACGTAGGTTTCTTTGAACATGGACAAAAACACAAACGCCACACCGACCCAGATCATGGCGATCCAATTCGTCCACCGCCAACCGAGCGATTGCGTGACGAACCCGCCAATCGTAGGGCCGACCACAGGGCCATTCATCGGACCGATACTCCAGATCGAAAAGGCCGTACTCCGCCACTCGTCGTTGATGAGGTCGGCGATCGAGCCGGGCGCGTTGGCGATCAACGCACTTGCGAAAATGGCGCCGAAGAACCGCGCGACGATGATGCTCGTGATATCCTGCGACAGTGCCGCCGGGATGACCAGGATCGTGAACATGGCCGTACATATGGTGTACACGGGTTTCCGGCCATAGGTCTCTGCGATGGGAGCCACGATCAAGCAACCAATGGCCAGGCCGAGGAGATATAATGTGACGCCCAGGGTCGCGACGGTTTCTGATTCGACACCAAACTCGACCATCATCTGCGGCATGCCGGACGTGTAGGACGTCGAGTACATGACTACGCCCAGCGTGCCGAACGACAAAGCAAACAGGCCCATTGACTTGTACCACAGTGGCCAGTTACGGGGATCGTCCGGGTCATTGGGGGCGAAGTCGACCTCATACCGCGGGTCGGAGGTGTATGCGGTTCCACGGGTCGTTATTCTCGAGACGGTGCGGGCGAGAGACTGGGACTGCGAACGACGCGATGTCTGGGTGGCGGTCAGGGTGAGTGCTCGTTCGTCATGGTCGGAGTCGGACGACGAAGGAGATCGGTCGGCGGAGGAACCTGAGTAGAACTCCTTCTCGGAAGGTATGGAGCTCGGGGTACGCTGTGACTGAGATTGCGAGTCATGTTGAGACACGACCACAGGAGGGACAGATGGTTTGTCGGAGATAGCCATGGTGTAAGGAAAGAAAGAGTTTGGTCATGCGAGAAGAACGGGGAGAGAGGGCGAGGGAGGAGGTTGAAGGAGAGTGTGGTAGACGGTCGAGAGATTCACAGGGCGCGGTCACGTACCGTGTGCATGAGGATTTGAAGCACGTCAAGTCGAATGAAGTGTTCTGCGGAGATCCACGAACCCAACAACAAAAATGTCAGGGCGTGAGAGAAAAAAAAAGAGGGCCAGGCCCGTTGCCAGTTGCATGACAAGAGTTTTGCGGTGTATGAGACAAGTGCACTATCCGCACTCCGTCCACTCCAAGGTCGTGAATGACACCGAGTCAATCGCCTGCCTCGTCACGGTGGCTGTACGGAGGGAGTAACCCGTGGGCAAAAAAGGCCAAAACCCCCTGGAGATCAAAAGAATTTTCTTCGGAAGAGGTGCCGTGCAGACCAATAAGATAGAGGCATGACTTTGCTGGGCGCCCTTTTCAAGCATGCGGCATAACAGCCTTTTCCAAGAGTTTGTAGATGGGCGGTGGGACGACTTGGCCATTCAGCTCGAGGGCTATGATGGTCTGTATGCATCAGAGAATGATCCTGCATTCTTCAGTGCTTCCCCTGTACATTGCTGGTTGTCGAAGCATCGAGGCTGACAAACGTGAAGGTGGAGAGGGGGAATAGCCGTAGATGGACGATGCCGGCGATGGGGCCACCAGGAATGCGGAATTGGGTACGGAATAGTACGAGTGACTGGACGGTCTTGGTACGCAGGTGATAGTCGGTTCTCATCCTCAGTATCATGATCAGTTGAGCGAGTGAGTGGCATGTTCATCAGTCCAATCCAGAGATTTTGGCCCAGATCGGCGTCCCGCGCGGCAGTTGCTCCTTCTAGATCTTTGCCTCGGCATTTCTTTCCGGCGCCAGCCATCACTAACCACAATCACCTCGACTTGAATTGATTCATGTGTATTCCTTAAGAGCGGCGATAGACTTATTGGTTCAATAGTCTGTTAGTAGCTTGGTTGCAAAACTTATACGTTAAACATGTGTTGACCTAAGAACATGGGGTCATGGTGGTGTCGATAGATAACAAGTTGACAAGTTGACAAGGTGACGAGACGACCAAGCCTGGTGTTAAGAGTGCCTGGTGTGTGCGATTATTCATGTCTACCCCTTTCTCCCTCGTTATCATCATATTAGGTATTCAGTATTCTGTAGTGTGTCATGCTCAACGTTGTATACTGCGATTACTCGGTAGTGGTTACAAAAGTATGGGTTACGTCCAACGAGCTCAAGTACTAGATTGGAATCCAATATTCCTCTGAGAAGAAAAAGTACTCGTTACAGAGTCTAAGCGACAGGTCCGAGAACCTCATGTATTGTATTGCCGACAATGAATACCTAGACCTTGTAAGAAATCAAGACTACTCCTAGAGGGCCTAGAGACCAGTGGAGATACGTTGTCTCCTAAAAAAATTCCAACATCCAAAAAAGGATGACTTGAGAATGATTTTGTCATTTGACCGACGCAGGGATCGAACCTGCAATCTCTTGATTGCACACGTTTGTGTATCGTAGTCAAGCGCCTTGCCATTGGGCCAGTCGGCCTTGAATCCAGGGAGTTGGGTCCCAGAATTTGGAGAGAAGTTGGGGTGTCAAATATATTAAACGACAGAAAACGCTACCCTGCTCTAGTGGATGTCAAGCTGACTCAATGGTCCGATTATTCTCATTTTTCGCCAAACTTATTGCTGCGTAGGTGCAGGTACCGCAAAGATACACTGACTACAAAGAGTCTGAAATCATGTCTTTCAGAGCCCTGCTCATGGCTCTGGGTAATTGACGTCCACCCACTTGCTTCTCATTGGGATCACGTCTTTAGCAAATCCAACGGATAGGCCGTGCATTTACCCGATCACCAGCCTCCTGACCACGACCCGTGTACAACGGGAGGCTCAAGCCGACACAACAAACTCCAACGAAAGCGTCCCTAATCAGGACAACAACAGCGAAAGAAAGCCTGGAAATGACGACGGACTGAGTGATCAGCCGGTCGCGGAAAAGCCTCGCCTCGTCGAGTTTTCTTTTTTTGGTCTTTTCTTTGATGTTCGCCCCATGGATTTCCATTTACTCAATACGTCTATTCCCTTACGATTTTCTTTTGATGCCGACTGAGAACATGTGGACTCCTTGATTACTCGAGTAACCAATGTAAGTATACGACAACCACGAGGCTTCTCCAATTGTGAAACGTGTTGTATATTCCAGACGAGTTCTTAGGAATGAAGCACACCCTGCTGTGTATCGCCTTAGTCAACCGTGTATTTTCCAATCCTCATTTCGAGGGGGCGATCACGCCAAGTCATACTTTTGGTCTTTTTGGTTCTTATGATGAAAATCTTCAGAATCGTATGCTTTCTTTTCTCGATGACCGGTGAAACAGCGCTATCAATAAACGAGACTGTTATTACATGGGACCGACCCAACGAAATGCCCATCCAGGTAGCTAGGTATTGCTTTGCTTTGCTTTTTCACTTTGAAGAAAGAGTATCATGTCATCCCAAACATGACCCTATCCCTGGCGCGTCAAAATACCTCAAACGATGACAGAAGATGACATTCCCTTGACGCCAACTTGGACTCTTTTTGACCTTTTTTGATGATTGATGATTTGTTTTACAAGTTACTCGCCCTTCAACAACACCTGGACCTCCGACTGGAAGGCTTGTCTCACCGGATAGGGTACCCGTTTCTGTCGAGGCCCCCCTGCCAATCCGGGTCGTAGTACTCGCTGTTCCTGTCCAGCGTGGCGACGTACCGGTTCCCCCGGACGCCGGGCTTTTTGGAATGGGTGTTTCTCAAATGACTTTTCAAGTTGTCGGTCCGCGAGAAAGGTTTGTGGCACTCGGGGACCCAACATTTGTAGATGTCGTTCTCGTGCTTCTCGTGGACGGTCTTTTCGTGCCGTTTGCGGTGTTCCTGCCGTTTGAACCTCTTTTGTCTCCCCGTGCCCTTGTCGATGCACCCCGGGTAGCTGCACGGGAAGGGGTTCCCCTCGATGACGGGGGTACAGTTGACCCCAGAGGTGGCGGTCTTGACCTTGTTGCGTTTCGACGACGACGCCTGAACGCCACCGCCGTTCTTGCGCTCGTACCCTCGGCGGTGCAGCCGGTCGTGCTGGTGGTGCGACCGACTGTTACCTCCCTTGCCCGAAGTGAACCGGAACAGCTGCTCGACGTCGGCGTACGGCATGTCTTCCACGTCGTGAGATTGTGTGGGAACGATACGAGGGGACATGATCGGTAGAGGAGGGCTGCTGCTCAACATGGCTGTGGGAAAGACCTTGATCTTCATCGGGGTGGATGGCTCGACTTTGTAGCTCGGAGAGCTGGGGAGGATCCTCTGAAAGGTCACACTGGGTTCGATGGTCTCCGGAGGAGGTGGATGACCCAGGTTGGCGTGCAGCAGGTCGTGGTGGTGGTGGGGGTTCACACCGCCGTACATTGTTGCGACGGCCGCCGGGTTCAGAGCTTCGTCGAAGATGGACTTGGTCAACATCGGATTGGACACGACCTTGCTTCCGACGTGCTGTTTCGACTCGTACAGCGTGTGGTGGACCGGAGGTAGGATCATGTCCGGCATGCCGGTCGTCGTCATCATCGGCAGGCCCAGAGGGGAGCTCGCCCCGTCGAACCAGACGCAGTCGCCAGGGTATTGCCCGGCGTCCTGAAGCTGGAACATGGGATGACAGCTCTCCAAGTAGGACGACGACGCCGTCTTCATATATTTCGGGCAGGACATGTGCACCGCGGCGTCACTGGTCATGGGCGTGACGGGACTCGCGGTCCTCGCGGACGGGGTGAAGAACATGTCCGGCGAGGTCATGCTGCTGCACGATCCGAGCGAGGAGCGGCGGAGACCCTGAGGCCCCATCATGGAAGAGTCACAGAGAAAGCTGGACGACATGGACGAGCAGTCCGTCATGAAGCTCACCGGCGATTCTCTTCCGAAAGGAGTACCGTCGAGTTCGGGGAGGATGTCGAGGGGGCTCTCCTCGGTCTTGAAATGGAGATGGAGAGGGGACATTGCTGGATCTGGTCAGTCAGATGGACGAAATCGTGATGACGCAGCAACAGGGCAGGTACTGACTTTCAACAACCATCTCGCTATGTTCGTTTGCCATGTGGGATGCCTGGGACGCCGGCGCTGGTCCAGTTTCGAACGGTGTTCTTTTCTCTTGTTCTGTTCAAGATCACGAGCCAAAGAAGGTCGGTCGAGCGTTGAATGAGAAACTTGAAAGGTAGGCGACTATCGACCGTCCATATCTATGAATCCGACCTGCGGCGGGCGCGTTGTCCTGGTAAATGCAAGGCGTCTGGTATGTGCCAGAGCCACTCCAGCAAGTGGTTCGTGAATACGGATTGACAGGGTTCCACTTTTACAGCGAGATGTCCAGGGATCCGGAGTTTCAAAAGCAGACCTGTCCCAAAGAGCGTCTCTGGAATCCTGAGGCGAGTGCCAGGAAAATACGAGGAATGGCTGCAAGTCTCCATCTCCACGGCAAGGGGTGCTTCGTTTTCTGGATCAACGCGCGCTGGATTTTTGCAGCACAGATCAAGTGAATGATGCACTAGAACGATCACAAGCTTGAGATCCATTAGGATGGTGGCCCTACTGCCTGTTTCTGGGTTCTCGAGACGAGCAGACACAAGACTTGATCGGTTAGGCTTGACAGCTTGTTGATGCAGGTACACGAAGGACTCGATTTGTTCGCACCTCAGGGCAACCCAGCCTGTCTTCGGGAAAGAAGCCCAGCAACTCCAGAGGCCCCATTATCCCCAGATGAGACCGGACAGCCTTGTGTCAAGATTCCACTTGGCTTGCGGTATGATTATCGATAATGCAATGCAGGCACTTTGATTATTGAACTTGTCAATAAAGTGCTTGCATGTCCGCAGCGTGACGGACGGGGAGGGGCTGTCGCTCACGGCCAAAAGCAGGGTTAGCCGGGCAAGCCCAACGTCCGAATTGGTGCCCCCTGTTCCACTGGACTGCATACTGCATACCTCCGCAAGGACAGATACGAGGTTCTCTGCGAATGGGGGATGGTGAGCTAGCGAAAGTGGCCGCATGAAGGTGGTGCTCACGGTACTCGTCACCATGGTTTGCCTCACAGGAGGCCTGACCTCTGAACCAGAGGGCTGGACACAGGACTCGTATTGTCCAACCGCCTGGCTTTTCTTTGGGCTCGACCTACGGAGTAAGGCCAGACGATTTTCTTTGGGTGGCCAACCCTGGATCGGATCTAGATTTCAGAGCTCGCTAAATCCCACCCCGGCTCGATCGCGTCTGGCATGCCACCCAGATGCAAGACGCTCGAAATGGCAAAGGCAGAGAGACAAAAGAGGTCAAGAGCGAGATCTGTGAACCAGAACGCCACCGAAAAGATGCACAGACCGGGAGAGGGGGTTTGATCCATCCTTTCGTCCTTTCGTGCCATCCCCAGGTATGTGTCACAGAAGGGCCGTCAGCTGGCAGGACCAAGATTGGGGCATACGGCCGGTGTACCAAAAGATCGCAGCCGGATGTTTGTGAAGGCTTTTCATTGCCAAGCTGAGTTGTTCTGGTTGAGTTCCGGGATGATCCCTGACACCCTGACAAGGTTGGCTCCATATAGGGAAGTCCAATTCTAGCCACCTTGTTTACTGGCGCTAGTGAGAGAGCCAAAATGTTCTAAAAGCAATCCCGGAGAATGCAGGCAATTACGGAGGACGCTGAGGGCTTTGCAGGCCACCACTGACCATTCACATGTCTCCTCGCGAACTGTGTGCGAACTGTGTGCGAACTGTGTGCGAACTATTCGGGCAGATCAAGCCTGGCTCTGCTGCAGCTTGACACACTACACTTGTATGGTACGAACTACTTCCTCTGCCACTCGACGTCATGACGAGATCTACCCTACATCTCCAACACAATCCGGCCAGGTATGTCACCCTTCTCCAGCATGTCATACACTTCGGGCAAATCTCTGAATGGACGCACTTGCACGCGAGGCTTGACCTTTCCAACCCGCACCAATTCAACCGCTTGAAGAGTTTCCTTTAACGAGCCCACCAAATTCCCCTGGATTCGCAAGCCCTTGATGACGATCGTGGCGATGGGTATGTCTAGATGAACGTCGCCTGGGGGAATTCCTACCATACACAGTGACCCACCTACCCTGATCATGTCGGCCAGTCGTCCAAAGGCCTGAGGGTGGCCGCTCGTCACGACCGTGGCGTGCGTCCCACCCCCCGTGATTCCCTGAACTTCGTGTGTGAGGTCCTTGCATTTGCTAAAATCGAGGAACCGAGCTCCCAGACTCTCCACAAACTGTCGCTTGTCGTCACCGGCGTCGACCCCGAGCACCTTTGCACCCAGGGAAAGACCGTACTGAACTGTTGTTTGTTCCGTCAGTAGGAAAAAAATTGTCACGACGCGTCCGCCATACCTGCGAAATGGCCTAGACCTCCGCCAGCGCCGATGACGGTCAGCCATTCGCCTTCCTTGAGGTGGGCGTTCACGACAGCCTGGGATCTTTCAGTCAGGACATGACTTGACCGGCGTAG